GCATTTTCAATTCCGAAATGTTAGAGCATACTGAGTGGATGGAAGGTTGGTGTTCCACAGTCATTAGCGAAATGGAACAAACTCCCCCACTGTGTTCCAGTCAGACTGGCGAACTTTTGCATGCCGCAACTTTCCATGTAAATGCTAAGTATATAAATTTACTAGTGGAATGGAAATACTTGAAGTACAGAATGACTTATACGACAAAACATTATATCACCAGTTTGTGTCAAACCCTGGGTGCCGGTTTCGGCGTTCCACTTCGTCGCCATTCTGCTTCAGTCGTGACGCGTTTTCCTGTGATTTACAAAGCAGGAGTAACCATGTGGTGAATTTGTACTACGGTGACACTACTCCTCATCTCATTTGTAGTCGCACATACTGCAACCCATCGGCGAACCTTATATATTGCTCCCTCTGAGAGTCGAATATTTTCTGGGAGGGTTATGTGTAGAAATTCGTGAGAAGAATGCATGACACTCCCTAGTGGTAGCATTATTCATACCAACCACTTTTATTGCAAAACTTCCCTATAAACAACAGGGGAACGCGTCTTATGCTCTCAATTGATGGCCATAACCCACTGCATTCATAGCAATCGCGTAATCCGTTGTTCAACAGCTACTAATGATAGTTTAATCCCAGTCTTGCTTTACTGCTATTTATAATACAGAACTCGAGAGTGGAGTGGCCCCCAAAATTTAATGCAGGTTCGATAGATTGTCCTTTGGGAGTTCCACATAATTCAGTCACCTATGGCGAAGACCTTCCTTTTTAGCGCTCTGGCGTGGTGTCCGGCCAGCAAAAGTTGGTTTGCGTATCCATCACAAAGCCCAATCAACAACATTAACTCAGAATACTGGAAAATGATGGCTTTAATGTGAGGACAAGAATGAAAGTAAGCACAAAACAGGAAAAAGTCACTATGCACTCGATATCACACACAGAGATGTGAGAGACGGTATAAAGCTTAAATGTAGGCGAAGGAAAGGAGTATTTGGAGGCAGAACGGTGTGTAGAGATGCGCAAAGTTATTTACAGGTAGAGTTCCAGTTTGGAAGGCCAGATGAAGTGGGAGGTAATGGCAGGATCGATGAGGTCAATTGTTCACAAAGCTTAACGGCGCACCGCCACCTGCCGACCTTCGCAACTTGAAGTGACCTTCGAGAATTTCGACCTTCTTCATCAGCATCTGTGAGACCCCTCGCACATAGTCAAGTGCCTCGTGCATGATCTCCTGGTAGTGCTGGAAGTACGCGATGTCATCCTAAAGACCAAAGAGGTACTTAATTGACGGCTTCTCGTGTATTACAGCTAGTTTACCCCGGTCCAGAAGGTAAATTCTGAAAATGTCAAAATGAATTCACTCATTCACTTTTCCAAAGAAAACTCCCACGGCTTTTATGCTGCCTTGTAACCTCGCGCAGAGAATTTTACTTTTTATGAATTGCTTATCCATACAAACATCTTCAGTTTCGGGATCTGACTTCCATGCTGGTAGCTTGCAGTCCTACCACGGGTCTCCCAAACCTACACTTCTTAATTAACTACAGCAATATTTTCCTGATGTAATATCACTCCATGAATGGTGTACTCCAATTTCCTCACTTGAGGCCTTACTTCAAAAATGCGTGGTATACCGTTCCTTAGTCTATGGTAGATTGGTTCTCCCATAACGTGTTACCCACTGGTTGACTGAGTTCAAAACAAATTAAGAGATGTTGAATCTTTCCCGTCTAAAGGGGACAACAGAATTTCAATTCTTGAGCAGCTGTTGAATGTCATTTTAGCAGTCCCATTGTTGGTGGCATAGTGGAACCTGATTAGGAGACTATCACATGAGTTAATAATACTCCAACCTTATTTAAAACTGACTGAAACTCGACTTTAAACGTTACTTTAACGTACCTGCGAAAGCGGCCTAACGTCTAGCAGCATGGAGGCAGCCTCATTCAGAGTGGGAGAGTACCTAGCCACCGCGAAGTGCGCTGCAGGTGGAGGCTGAATTCCTATCGACATATTTATTTCCCTTTTCGTCGGTTTTCCTTCCAAAAAAGGCAGTTTATTCTTTCCAGTCACCGCCTCATCCTCTGTTGTTGCTAGAGTCCCATTCATTAACATCGCGGTGTGCATCGCTACGGAACGAAAACTGGCGCCAAACTCCGCGCCGAACTGGAAGGTGGAGGGGAGAAAACGCATCAGTGCAGATACGCAATCCGGGTCCAAGCCGGCTGGTGGGGGTGGAAATGGCGTCGTCGCTGCTGCCACTGTTGGCGGCAGAGTTGGTGTTGGGGGTGGTATGGTGGAGAAGCTGGTAGATTTGATGGAGGCAAGCCTTTCCTCGTTGGATTTAGAGGATTTTATGGAGGTAGACGTGGAGTAGGGTGGAGGAGTAGTGGCAGCACCTGAATGATGAATCGGACCCCGGGATGCTGCTCCGAAGGATTCGGGTCTGCGAAGGTTCGGTGGGAGAGTCCCATTCTTAGCCGTGAATACTGAAGGACTGTTGTCTCTTTTCAACTCCTTGTTTGCACAAAAATAAGCGTAAGTAGAGATAAAAGCCGAAAGAAGTAAAAAGATAACTCACCTGTCTCAACTGTTCAATGTCCTTCATGACGAGATTGAGTGCAGTAGCCACCATTTGTCTGGCCTCTACGGACAGTCCATTCATCGGTGGCTCTTTCATGTTGATTTGACCACGATTTTTCTTAGAGTTGCGTCGACAAGCCTTTAAGTAGGCACGGATACGATTTCGGTGGCGTTTGGCCTCCAGATGGGGCCAAGCCTTGGAGCAGATACGCTCTAGCGCGTTGATCGCATTGCGCGGCTGCTCACAGAAGGTAATCGTCCGATCCAGTGTCTCATCAACTAATTTTCGCACAAAGTTCTATGAAACAGATGTTAGGCTGTTTAGTACTTAATATATGGCTAATAAAGGACCCTACCACGGCGCTATATTCTGTCATAGCTATTACAGTAAGAGGCAGCAATCATTTCTTAAATAAAGATTTATTTAAAATTCAGATACTACTCGTATTTTTAAAGGCAACACACATTTATCTTGGCTGAAATGCAATAAACAATATTTGACTGTTGCACTCGTAGCGCAAAGCTATGATAGTAGTCGTCGATTCCCTTTAACGCAAAGCTATTTCTAGACGCGTCTACTCTGGCACCCTGGGTTAATAACTGTTAATAGTTACATTGTAGGCAGCAACAAGGAGTTCTGAGCCGATTCCTCCATTCCCATCCTCCGGGTCATTTTCATCGTCATGGCCGTGAGGGAAGGCAGTAGGAGGTTTTAGGTTGTTGAAAAAATTCTGGCTGGTCAGATCGCCCCTCAGAGAGAGCGGAATATGGTGATGATGGTGCTGATGATGATGGAATTCCGTTCTTCTAGACTGCGGGGATTTCAAGAGAGGTACGGTGGGATAACTGAAGAACTGGGAGCTCAAGGATGGCTCCCTGGGAGCTGAAGTAGTCGGCGATGTGGAAACTGGTTGAGGGGCGAAAGGTTTTCGACTGGCATTAGCATGGACTATGAAGTCCTTCTCCTCTTCGGAGCACGTAGAAGTGCTACCATCGTCTACTGATTGAGAGGCTTCTGTTGTCTTGGATTTCTGAATTTACAAAGAAAACTCACTCCAACCCTGAACCCATATAAGCACAATATAAAATGCCTATTTACTTTATAATAATTAGTAGCAATAAATCTGTCGCCTGCAGTTTCGCCAAAGACCTCGCTTGAGTGACGCTTTGGGGCTGGTGGAATTCTGGTGAATTCATCGCCGCAAAATTGTTCTCCGTACAGAAAACTTGAGTACTTTGGCAGGTCATCTTCCTTATGTGTGTCAGTGCTACGGTTTTGGTAGGTAGGAAGTTGAGTGGCCTACACAAATGGAAATCTTGTCATAATATCCATAACTACAATTTGTTATGGGCCAACGGCTCTATAAAATGCTAAAGAATTATGAATAATAAGTGCAGTTCCAGGATTAAAGCTACCAGTGGGCTAAAGTTGGCATCTAGTTTGAAATAATTTATCAAAAGAATGACTTGAAAATGGGGATTACTTATTATAATTTCATCGTCTTATTTGATTGAGCCTACAATTCTTTATTAGTCAATGTGTATTAATTTAAGGCTGATTATGAACTTGTAAAATTATAAAAGTTGACAAGAGCTTAGAGTCAATGCTTTCCTTACAAAGATATTCATAATTCACATTTAACTCACATCGTTTTTCTTATCTTCTTTGTATGCTTTATGAAGGGGCGACTGTCCTCCTTTCCCTGCTACACTCATAGCACTTTGCATTGCTTGTTTTCACGATGTCTAAAACCATAAAAAGAGGGAATTTCAAAATTGAGTATCTTAATATTCTCCCTTTTATTTGAAATGCAATATTTGGAACCAAGAGCCAGCTTGACCGATTGATTTCTGATGTAGCCTTTTGATAGGGTTCAGGGATGATAAAACAGAAATTTACTTTTGCTTTTGTATGCATTTATTGTCATTTTACTATAAAGATGGCTGTTAATATTACAAGGTGAATCACCTTTTCTTTCAGATGAAGGTTAGCCATCAATCCTGAATGGATCTTTCTGACAGATGCTCGGTCTGGTGCAACAAACAAAGTTCTCCTCTTCCCCTTCTTCCACCCCACCTCACACTATCCAGTTGTCGCCAACTCAATCAAGCACTTGCTCCCTCTCACTCACAAGTCATATGCTAGTAAGACGTCCCAACAAGTGACAAGCCGCACTGCCTTCCTGCAATTTCGTGGCGCCAGGTGTTAACAGGAAGGTAATTAAT